AATGCACCAACGGTAGACTGGAAAAATCTGAGAACTGAATTTTCAGAAAGTTCCTTTGGTCAGGAACTACTTGCTGCCGTTATCACATGTACCCTAATCCAACACGTGAAATGAGCGACTAGGTACCACCTGGACACTGAATCATCCTTACTAGATCTCATATTGACCAATTATGAGGATAACACCACGAACTTTGACTACATGACACCCCCAGATAAAAGTGATCATGCATGTCTAACTGTGTAGGTCATGTCTGTAAAAAGTGTGTACCTACCCTTTCAGAAATGTACTATATTATATAGTTGTCGAAAAGCGTGCACAAGTTAACTTAACTCAGATGTGACGTCTGGAAAGCAAATTCAGTAAGCATCCTCAGTATATTGGAAAATAGAGTCAAAGTCAACAATTGAAACAGCTTGTGATGCATTTCAAAATATAAACTTAAAAGTTACTGCACCTCAAATCCATTGGACTACAGCAAGAAGTCCGAGAAACTCTCCACCGCAGTTTAGTAGGGAGGTTTGCACTCTTCTCTGTAAAAGGAGGACAATGTGGATAACATTTAGGTTGTTGGGTACTGATGAGACAAATTCTGAATATCGAGAAGCTAGGAATACTTGTGCCTCGACCCTCCGTAAGTCTAGAAGGTTTTACGAAGAAGAAATTGCTAAGGAATCTAATGAATGCCCTAAACGCTTGTAATCGTACATAAACCGAAGGACAAAAAGGCGAGGAAGTATTCCGGCATAATGGGGAAACAGTAATGATTTATCATTAGCAGAGGACGACTATAATAAAAATCAAGTATTCTCAAACTACTTTATCAATGTATATACCGTAAAAACACTCCCCCTGTCAGTCCACACACTAGACAACATGGCCACTAAAGAAATCGAAGTCTTTGGTCTGCTAAATTAGCTTGATATAGGCAAATCACCGGCATCCGATTAACAACATCTTAGGTTACTAAGGTAACTAGCAAACTTTGTTAGGAACCCCTTAAGTATATGTTTTATTCTATCTGTAACCCAGGGTCGGTCACCAAAAACTGGGAGAAGGCCATTGTTAGTTCTGCCTTCAAAACAGGTACTAAGCATAAAATTGAGGACTACCGACCCGTTAGCCTGACTAGCGTGGTTGTTTTAAGGTTATTCGGAAGTAGCTGTTTCGTGATGCGCTCTTAAAAACCAAACGTTATCTATAGACGTAGTCTACATTGACTTCAGCAAACGTTTTAACATAGTTTCTCACAACCGGCTGTTGTATAAGCTAAGGAATGTCGTGGTTGAGGGCAATCTATTAATGTGGATTACACACCTCCTAGTTGGGTGCAAACAAAGAGTACGGGTGAACTCCAAATTGTCTAGATAGGAAACTGTGCTTAGCGGGGTTCCTCATGATACCATTTTTGGGTCAATGCTATTCCTCTTGTATGTAAGTTACCTCATTCGCCTCTTATCACAATTGATCTTGATATATGCTGGCGATGTCAAGAGATGGAGAACGATACGATGTGAGGGTGATAGCTTAGAAATCCAAAATGACCTGAAGAAATTATTCGAATGGTCTCAAACCTGGCAGTTGCCGATAAATACTTCCAAGTGTGTTGTGATACATATCGACCAGCAAGGTACAGATACATACACGATGAATAACCCTGAGGTACCTGTTGTCCAGACACACATAGTGACTTAGGAGCCATCGTTAGTCAAGACTTAAAGACTACTGCACACTGCCGTGCAGTAGCCGCCAAAGGTTTCAGAACCTTATGGTCAATACGTAGGGCCTTTAGCCATGTCGACACTAAAACGTTTTTATCTTTGTACACAGTATTCGTACGTCCTGGACTTCAGCACACCATACAAGCGGCTAACCCTGCTTAAAAAAACAGAGAGCTTTTTGAAAAGATTCAAAGAACAGCAACTAAGCTAATTCCTGGAACTTAGAAGCTCCCGTATGATACCCGACTACCTAAACTAAACATATTCCTATTGTCGTATTGAAGAATTAGAAGTGGCCTGATTATAATTTTGAAATTGCTTAGTGATAAATTTGCACCTGATATGCCCTCATATTTTTCTTTTCCAAAACATGGAACTTACGGGGACACTCCAAAAAAGTTCACAAACCCAGAACAAATTACTTGTCAGCTGACTATCGACTTTCCCATCAGATCATCAGCGAGTGAAATTCACTGCCTCAGCACGCGATTGAAGCTTAATCTGTCGGCTGTTTCAAGAGAACGTTGGATCAACTGAGAGACAATCATTGCCAGGGTTAGTACAGACCAACGAGCTTCCGTTCCTTTCCAAACTGAAACTCAAAATTTGATACTGGCTTCGTTAGTTTTAGTGGGTAAATCTAGCTCAATACATTCGTTAACGCATCCACATCAGATCACGAGCAGGTTCACCGTGCTACGCATCGCTTGCAGCTGCGAATCAACTCTTCCCAATATATCGACAGCCCCTAAAATATATCTTTTAACCTATTATTTTCTAACTTCGGATTTGAATGGGTTGGTACACTTTGATCATAAAAATTGCGTGTGAAGATATTCCCGAACTCCGAATATCTGTGGCACCCTGAAACTTGTTTAGGAAGAATGTTCTCCGTATTAAGGAAAGAGCTAAACGACGAGGTAGGATTTCATCACCGCCCTTATAAAAAGATTCACATACTCGGAGTCAGGTGGAACCAATGCTTAAAGTTTAACAGAGTACTTCAGAGAGACCCATGTATGGAAAATTAAGGCTGGAACAACGCTCATCGGCGCTGCTGAGATACCAACCATCGTACTGGTGTTTAAGTGCCACTAAGTGGTTATGAGTTAATTAACTGACTAAAATTTGTTTCATCGAGTGCTGATGGATTACATCTCCAGTTTTACTGATCTCTCGCAGGTATTCTTGCGGGGACGCACAATGTTGATTTCCCCTCCCCTCACATCTTTGATCTGTTTCTAAAAGATTGAAGGACGCCATATCTTGCCAATTTTTAGGAGTAGAAAGAGACAGCTCACGTTTAACCACCCATCTGTTAGTCTAACTGTTATGTCCCGATAAGAATAATGAATGGTAACTTTTGCGGTCCATTTATGGATCAATACTATGCATACACTTCATCGTATAATTGTTAAATAACTAAAAAATTCATATTCTTGTCCCTCTTATTATGAGCTTTATTTTGACCTAGGAAATATTATTATACGATTCACCATTCTTGAGTTATACCCTGTCTATCAATTACTATCTTCCTCATTCACGGCCACATCTGGCTGATTCTTGTACAAGTGTTGTTTCCTATTTTATGTTACGATGTAGTCTGTCTGGTTGGTATATAAACCCAGTATGCTTGAAATACATGATTCATATTGCAGAGGCTGAGATTGGCGTTCTGGACTTAACTGACTGGGCTAGGCAGGAATCAGGACTAATAAGGAATCTAGGCTGTCCGCACGGGTTTTATGCGTCACTGGTTCGATCGATAATTCACGGCTCTGTGATTGGCGGCATCCATTGCTGAAGGTAGTGCGTCAAGCGTCAACGTTAGACCATGCTCGGGTACGCCATGTTGCGCAGGCCTCACGACGACGAGTCAGCTAAATTAAATAAAGCTCAACACACTAAATACGATTGAAAGACATTTTCGAACCCTATTTTTCCAACTTCTGACTAAACTGGTTTTCGCGTCTCTTTTTATGAAGTTTCTGCTGACAGTGTTGGTAAGTATTTCGTTCCTCTAGGTAACCCTCGTGCTATTGATAGAAGAAACCAGACAAGTAGTTAGTAGGTCTTTATTTAGATCTTCGCGCAGTCACAGTGGAGCGTAAGATTATTTATTCAGACAAACAAAACCTCTCAACATTCAATATGAGATAAAAGGAAATATTACGCCTATACAAAGCAAGGAAGTGAACGAATACTTGAACTATACTGTTTTGAAATATGCTTAGTTGTTTGAGGTGAACTCTTAACCAACCAACCTAAGCTGTTACATTAGCTCCCCTCTAGAATCGGCTTCCGTAAGAACGTCGGTTTGATTAACCTATCTATCAAAAACACCTTAGTTCTGTTTACTCTACCCAAGGGAAAATTATCAAATCGCTCACTTTGACTTCCAATCAATGACGACTAACTCCGTCAGCAGTCAACGATAGTTCATAGATGTCGCTTAATTGGATAGCTTGCCAGTTTATTTTGTAGCATGTGATTTCTTCTACAACCATCACTGACGGTTTGCTACGTGCTCGCAAGAGAGTGTGGGAATAAGGAACAAGAATATCTGAGGAAGTGCCGCGAGCGGGCTACCCAACACCATGTTGATGAGGTATGATTTTTCCATGCTCAGACCAGCTATCAAATGTTTACTCACCTGTCTCTTGAGTCGCACTTAAGTAAAAAGTAAGGAAGAATCTACTTCAAAAGTAATGGTGAAAACCGATCAAACTTAAGAACTGATCCACTGCCTGCATAAAATAATAAGATACAAAATGGAAATACATAAATATAATTGATAATTGTTCGGTTCCACGTAAGTGATTGGCTCCCAGAACGGATTGGTATTTTGGAAGGAAATAGGCACAGTGTAGACATCTTGTGTACGGAAAAGTATGAAAACAAAAAACTCTTATAATGCATATATGTAAAAGTGTGAACTTGCTAGAAGTTGGACTCTTTGTTGAACCCAATCAAATGTATTACTTTGAGCCTATGATGAACAAAACTGCACCCGGGGGCACTCCAATAAGCACAGTCTCCCAGCTAGACAATTTGGAGTTCACCCATACTCTTTGTTCTAAAATATGCAATAAAATATCATATGCTTTTATCTACATCGATTAAAATGAAAGAAAATGTTAGTAAAAGGTGTTTTTTAAATAACTTGTTCTGTTGAGTTTTTAAGGATTTTGATTTTTTTGTACTAATTTCCATAGATCATATTTGCGGAAGGATCAAATTTAAGGTCAATTATGAGGCAGCGGTAATACGATGTACAATGAGGAATCGCTTGAGTCCAAATTTACAGATAAAATATTCGGTGGTATATTCGTCTCAGTTAGCTTTGTCATAGTGAGCTTTTTGCTTGTATTTTAACAAACGTTCAATAGATCGGTCTCTGGATTTACGTGATAGCATTATCGGATTTAGAAATACTTTTCAGCAACTACGACTGTAATGGCAACGTTTGTGGTAGTGAAAAGAATCTGAAGCCACTTTTGTTTATGAAATTCAACGTTTCTAAGTATAAGTAGGGAAACATACATGGTTTATTTATAGATACTTGCTTCACACTAATTTTGAAGACAAGGTATTATCTGTACCTGTTTGTGTTCAAAGATGTCCGGACCGTTTCATAAACTCTTCGAAGCAGATTTCAAATTTTATAAACTCAACAGGTGTATTCTTGTGTGACCCAAGGATTCCTCCTCTGCTTTATGAGTAAGTTGGACAACATTTATTTAATATTGCTTCTACAATCTTTTTGTTGTGAGACCTAGTCATTGTGCTTACTTTATCATTTACAAACGTCTTTTTAAGAACACATGATCTATCCGGTGTATGTGCAGGGTTATGTGTATAGAGTGTGTTGGTTGAAAATTCTGTTTACTAAATCTTTAAAGATTTCAATAAAGTTTCCTGTTTTAAATTTGTTTCAGTTAAACAATTGCACGTAATATCGACATCTACATATTTGTTTTTGCGAAAGTGCTATTATAAATTCAGTTGTTGCAAAATTTAAGAGGACCATCCATAGTACTTGAAATATTTTTCTTCTCGTTTGTACTCCCCTTGCAGCACATATGTGGTTACTGCCGGTCCTAGGCCCAGGTAAAAGAGGGGAGTTAAATATGGGTTAGCGGTCCCCTCTGTTAAATAAAGGAAAGCAGAAGGCTATCCAGAATAATTAAAAGAACTCCAATATCTTTGATTTGGAGAGTTATAAGACGATTACAATAAGATTAAAACATTAAATGTTTCATTAAGTGAAATAATGCGTCATAAGATTTAAAATGATCGAAGACGCCCATAAATAAGGATTAACGGCAGCCAGCCACTGTCAGAAGTCGGTCTTTAATGCTAGATGTTAAACCATCTCACGATTATCATGGTATAGGTAGTGTTTGTGTTTGCTTAGTAGTAAGATCTGTGCATTTTGGTGATAGCAATGACAAAACATAGAAATCAAGTTTTTGTCTACATTTTGCATTTTATTCTTCTTAAAAAGTGATTGTTTTTATAGACACATATATTTGTGACGATTAGCTGTTTTCATCTCAATTTGTTGCAAAAACTCACTAAACGTAACTTAGCTTATTTTAGTTATAGGCAATAATTTAGGTTTGCTTATTCAGAGGACAGTTTTTTGTTTGACTATTATAACGTATGAATGAATTTATACAAGACAGTTGTGTGAACAAAACAATTTATAGAAAACGTTTTACTATGTATAATATTTTGAGACTAAAATATTTAATAGCATGTGTTTATTATAGAAACCATAAACTATTTCGTGAGGGTTTTGTGTTTTCCCTGTATATAAATATATTTATGACATTCGATGGTGTATTTAGAAAAGCTTCATAGCTTTTTAACAAGCTGTGTAACTTACAACTACACCTCCTTATTTCATTAGTGTTTCCTCGACATTCAAATCACTCAATAATTTTTGTCATTCAAAAGTTGATGTGTTAGTTTTCTTTAGTTAGTTTAAACGTCCCTACAATGCTAGCATAATACAGAGTCTTTTGAACACCCTCAGTAATTGCTCAAGCATATTTGAGGTTTGTTCTTCCTTTTCATGGCGTAAAATTCTACTTTAGAACTAGTTTGTATTATCATTTAGAGTAAGATAGTTAAGATTAAGGATAGCTAAAAATGACTAACGAACCAGAGTTCTTCTTACACTTTCATCATACGATGATTGAAATTATACCATCTGACCGCTTAGTGTGATAAAACATCATTAGGGGTTATGTAAACTAAAAGCGAATACCTAATTTGGTGTAAAGCACATACTTACGGGAATTCATTCAAGTGACTTCAACAGTATGGAATGAATAGAATTTTAATTCTCTTAAAAATTAATTTTATTTGTCATCTAATATATCGAAACATTGAATGGAATTTTACAATACTCAATTACAGTCTGACTGGAATACTATTCAACTAAGTACTATGTAAGCAAGATATTGGACTTTTTACATAGAAAATAGGCCGAAAAAATCAATCACTTATTGATCACTATTATTACAGTCACTTAACAGATTATATAGTTCTACATTTATCTAGTATGGCAATACTGAGAGGTGTCGTTTTTTATTTTTAAGATGATTAAGTAAACTGTAGACACTTGGATATAAAGCATCAAGGGAACTTTGTAACTGGTCTACGTGCTGATCACTTGTTAGAACTGTAATATGAAACTGGATACACTTTTACAGCCAGGTTGATACCTTTGACAATATCCTTTCTGTAGGAAATCGATCAAACTTGAATAGTTTTTGGAAATTGTTTAACTGTAGCGATGGAGTCAACTATATAAATCAATTATGTATTTTAATTTGGGTTTTCATTTCATTTAAAAAGTGAACATTTGATCAATTTTACTTCTTATGATTGTCGTGTTGTATAAAATATTTTCCGTGAATATCAAAAATCGTGAAATTAACATGGATGTATTGAGTTTTAAGATATAGTTTAGTAGTCTAGTCCATTAAGTCACATTCTCCAACTCCTAGTTTATGGATAAAAATACACTTTAGTTTATTTTGTCGACGTAAACTTATAGCATCAGTAATTTTTAAAGGGTGTCTATAGCTTACCATCCACTATATATATTAGTACTCTTTTTGATCATAGGCATGTACTTATTTATAGATAAACGTACTAGTAAATTTATAACGTATTTAAAAAGAAATATTATTGTTTATTCCTTAAAAATAATTTACCTTTTTGGAAAGCTGTTGATATGACCAGTAAAAGTGAATAGTTATTAGTTGCTATATGGTTATTCACTTTCATACTTATATATTCTTTTGTTATTTAATGAGTGATTGATAATTCTATTGTATTCTGGATAATATCTATCAAATGAATACAAAATTTGTACTTTATCTTATTTGAAACTTACCAGCTGAATAATTCAGGATCCCATTTGTAATATTCGTGCAAAGGTATAGACTACCTGGTTGAGATCCGCGAGTTGATAGCGACCGATGGTTAGAGATCTTGAATGACATGGCTCAAAATCGTTTACAACGACGCAGTTGCATCCACTCTTCATTTTCTCCCAAATCCTAATTTTCGGAATTCTTCATGTCCTTTTTTACTCTTTCCGAATTTATTTCACTGGATTATACTCCTTGAATAACATCTTCAAACCCTAATCTTTCCGACTACTGCTTATACTTTTACTGCCTCTACCAATATGGGATTTGAATTAAGAAGTGTATCTCTGTGCTAATGTGGTATGACAACTCGAACTGATGTACTTACGTACGAAGTTCTACGTACTGAGACTCAAACCTAGAAAAAACTATGTAGTGTTCCAAAACATAATATATATTTGTAAAGTGTTGTATTTTGAATGTAGTGCCATAACTAAGTATTAGAGTTTGTTAGTTAAATCATAGATTTCTTTATAATAAAACTAATTTTACTTGACAATTTAGTTTAAACTTAAACGATAAATTTCATAAAAGAATAACTGATGTTCAATTTTCAGAAATAATGTATGCTTACTTTAGGGAATCAAAAGTTATAGAAAGAAGAACAGAATATAAAATATGTGATTAACTATAGCTAAGATTCATGAGTACTACGTAATGATGCCGCCAATTAGAGAACAGTGAATTATCAACCGGACCAATGACACATAAAATCCGCACGAGCAGTCTTACATCCTTATCGGTCCTGTGTCCTATCTAGTCCTACCTGTGAAGTCCAGAATACAGCCTCCGCGATATAAATCATATATATCTCAAGCATATTAAGTTCATATACAAAGCAAAGAGACCCCATTTTACCATAAAATAGAAAATAACATTTGTACATGATTTAGCCAAAAATGTCTGTGAATATGGGAGACTGTAATCAATAAACTGGACGGTATTCAAGAACAGTAAATCGTAAAATAATAGTCTATGGGTTAAAACAAAGCTTATAATAATAATAATATGAATATGCATAGTTTAGTTACTTAACACCAAAAATGTATGTATCGTATTGATCCATAAATAGTTCCTAAACGTTACGATTCATAATTCTCATCAGGATATAACAAGTATCATTAATCTTTATATCGGAAATGTGATCCAATACTGTTTAAAGTATCTTTGATCAATCCATAGTTATATTTAACTCATTCATATCTTAATATATATATCTTAATATCCATCTATTTAATTAATTTATAATTTTATTCTTAGATCTCAACCGCGTATTTTAAATGCATCATTATGTCCAACATTACCATTATATCCTACGATACCAATTGGTGGTGTATGTATACCAGTCAATTTTATAAATCATAGCAATTTTGCAAATTTTCAATATAATGCGGATTCAGAATTCACTTTATCATTATATCAAATCATAATATGTGGTCTAATGGGATCAGGTAAATTTATTGTTGTTGTTGGATTTCTTTTTACATAAATAAATGAATTTATTTAAAGATGGATAGTGGCTATCACTGGAATACAGAACACGCGTTTCGTCTTATTTGGGACTGGTCAGCTGAATGTACTTGCATCTCAGAGTTGAATTTCACTCTGGATCTCGTACTCAGTATCGTTCGCTTCAAACGCCATCACGTTATCCATTTAGCTACTGAGTCCTGATAGCCACTTGCTTGTGCAAGGAGGTGAAGTTTTAAATTCACTTGGTATTGTTTGTTTGAATCTTCCCATTGGTGTTTAGGACTGCAATTGATCAGTCTCTTATTTGCACTGCTAACCGCTGTCGATGTTTGCATATAATGCTTGTGAATTAAGGCTATATCGAGGCAAATATGCACAGTATGTACATATACCAATAAGAGATTGATCAATTACAGTTCTAAACATCAATGGGAAGATTCAAACAAACAATATCAGGTGAAATGAATTTATTGTTTACAATTACATGTCAAGTGATTAGAGGTAATCGACAGGTTGATATCGGTTTCATACTAGTTATTTTGTAACCTGAAATCTGACTCCAGTTAGATGATATGATTGATTGTTATTGAAATATACATATGCCGTCTATCCTCAGATAAAATAAATTACGTCAGTGAATAATGAAATTAAGTAGGTCAAATCCGAGAATGGGTGATTGAATACGTATATTTTGTACACTCGCTGATCGAAACGGACAATCAGAGAATCTTAGTGAATAAAGCAAAGAAAAGATAGCGAAGTGAAACGAAAGGATGCACAGTGAAGGTGTGTGAGTGAATTCCGTTTAATCAAGCGTTAATCGATATCTATAGTGACACAAAAATAAGCTACATACATGCGTTGAATGGGATAAGAAGGGCACACATATGGGCTTACATAAAAACAGTCAAAATTGATAAGTGAATAATTAACAAGGTCAAAATATGACTCAAGAACAATTGATAAATTAACTTGTCTAGAAGCTTGAATAAGCTATGTGGATTTAACATAGCCACCGACACTACAGTTACCATTCATCATCAGAGTCTGCCTATAATCTTAAAACAAATCGATAGTTATTCAGAAATTCAAAACTAAATCAACCAACTTTTTATTCTGATACGTTTTCCCTAAGTTATTCAAAGTGTAACCGATTTGCTATAGGTATGAGATACTTACAACTTGATGGGTAAAGGCTATTTAGAAACAAGAAATAGAAAAAACATCTCAGATAAATATGAGTGGTCACTATGGTGTTGTAGAGACTGTTTATTCTTATTGAGGTCACGAACCAATTCAATTCAGACAACAATCGATAATTACGCAACTGGGATGAGAAAAAAGGTCTTATGTTTTGTGCGCAAACACTTTACCTATCGATTAGTTAGCCAAGATCCAAAAGTGTACGGGTCTTATTTCAATCAACCTGTGATATTGTACGAATATCTCCCATTTTCTTCAATGAGTACTTTCTACACACCCAACACGTTTGAAATTTTCTAGTCACAGTTTCTCACAAAAAATCCGGAACTTTTTTTATTGAATCTAATCACTAGTGAGCACATAATAATTGTCCATATGAAGTTGTGGAGATTGTGCAGTCTTTTGAAATCACAAACCGATCCATAAAGCGCAGGAACTATGTCAAGGGTTCCTTGCAGATTCACTCTTAACCATCTAACATATAAATGCATCAACCTACAATATAAATATTTCCCAACAGTATAAAAACAGAATATCAATGATAATGGAAAAAGTATTTCGATGAACAGAAAATATTGATCAAGAATACTCAGAAAACTTGAGATAGTGGAAAAGGTTTGCAGTTCAGAGAACGAAACTTCACAAAAATCACCCACCTGAGCTACATATCTTCTCTACCATCTCAAAGTCATATGAGTGTAGTAAGCTTCTCGTTGTTCGGAAATGGGAGAATTTCGCCAAATGACAGGCTTCCACTCGAGAACAACAGTATTTTCTTCACGAATGTCTTCATCATCATGTTCTACCAACAAGTGTAAGATACAGACCTCCAATCAACTACCTATTGGGATGGAGAATAGCTGAGCAAAGTGAAAGAAAAATGATATACTTAATGATAACGGATGCATATTACAGGATCCACAAATACCAACATGTCATAGAGGACCAAAAGATGAATATACAAAACGACACTCACATCAAAACATTTAGAAATCTTGACAACAACCCATTGAGATATCATGCAAACACTATCAAACCATCCAGTTCAGAGAATAAAAACCGCAGAAAACTAAAAACTAGTGAATGTTTCTTTAGTTGATCGTTAGATAAAGAAAAGAATCACTTCGTCATGAATAATTCAGTTTCTAAATCATTCACCATTTTAAAGTACACGTTTAGAAAATCAATTACTTTCAGTACTTATTGTAGTTATTTTGACGACCATATCAAATTTTACTATCCTTGAGTGATTATTTAACCTTGAATTACCAATGGTAATATTAGATATCTTTTTTACATATGTTTAAGAGAAGTAAGTAGAATAATACGCCCTTTATTGAAACTTAACTATATTCTCTTTTAGGGAATTTATCAGCTTAAAGATGAATCAAGATGTTGGTTAATATTTATATATATCGTCTAATACTTACTTATTTACTTACGCCTGTTACTCCTCGTGAAGGAACATAGGCCACTCACCAGCATTCGTCATCCAACCCTGTCCTGGGATATCGTTTAATGACATATATGAATTAGAAACTTTTTGTTAGATTTCAAATACATTCCATCCTCAACCACCGACTGCCTCGATGTGCGATGTTTTTGTATAGGAGTAGATTGGAAGAAAGCTAGGGGCAGTCGGACCAAAACATAGCACAAATCCATGAAGTCACTGACAAGTGGACTGAGTCATATTGGTAGATGTAGACTACCTGGTTGGGGACCACGAGATGATAGCAGCCGATGGTTAGAGACCCTGAATAACATGGCTCAAAATCGTTTGCAATGGTGCAGGTGCATTCACTCTTTGTGTTCTCCAAAATTCTAATCTTTTGAATTCTTCATGTCCCTTTCCTTTTTCTCTTTCCAAATTTATTTCACTGGATTATACTCCTTGAATAACATCTTCAAACCCTAATTCTTTTGATTACAGCTTATAATTTTACTGCATCTAGCACTACGGGATTTGAATCGACCACTGCATCTCTGTGCTAATGTGGTGTGGCAACTCGAACTGATGTACGTACGTACGTACGAAGTTCTACGTTGCTACTGACTGACTGACTGAAATACATTCCATCAATACTTACCATAACAGTATTAAGTTTTGTAAATGTATTATCCATTCAGTAAACCTATAATCGGTGATACATTTCTAGTTTATGTCGTTGGGAAGTAAGCCAGGTTACACTAAATGATTATTTTGTCTCAGTATGAAACTCTACATTAATGCACATTTACAATTCTATTAGGGAACTAATTCAAGAAATTTCCTATCAACAGTTGAATGTTAAATCTTTAGACCAAATGATTCGATATCTATGTTCAAATTAAATCAATTCACCATATTGTACACCCATCTTTCAATGATTTTATTTTAACTAAATGATTCAAACCCAATGTAGATTCAATGCACTTTTTACTGTTTTTTTTTGTTTCACTATAACTTGAGGAATTACCATTTGAACATTTTAATCTTTGAGTTATCTCATTTTAACATTAAATTAAGATTGATGTATGAGGAACACGTATTTTCCAAAGACATACTAGAAATATGATTGGTTGAAGTTAGTTATCAACACTGTTGGATGACGGCTCAGTGGTCTAGAGGTTAAGCAAACACCTGCGAGAAGTGAAAGGTCCTGGGTTCGAGTCCCGCGGGAAGGATCGCGAGTGTGCCCTGCTGAGGAGTCCCGCAATAGGACGAGTTAGCCGCCCAGTGCTTTTAGGTTTTCCATGATGGTCTAGTCTCAATTGACTACTGATCTCAACTATTAGAATTACAAATAATAATGAATAAAATCACAGAGGTATGAGGGATAAGCAAAAAGAGACAGAGGGATATTTTTTGAAAAACGAAATAAAAAATATTCAATAAATTATTAATGATAGTATTTTATGACCCCAATAAAGACAACAATAAGATGTACTGCATTCGTACATACAGTTATGACTTCATTTCATGGATAGCAAGAGCTTCAGCAATTTTTTTGCGGGGGGGGGCGGTGGATGGATACGAAGAAATCTTGTTAGATTTAAACGAATCCAACCTTTAAAAAGCATTATATGTGATCATTATATTTGAAATAATCTTAGCGATTATAGGGTTTTTATTTACACAAACACACACACACACACACACGATCTTTTATTATTGTCAGCTAAACTCACGATGTTGACGGTAAAATGTAACATTGCCGCTTCATTTAACTTATAACTTGCCATCTCAATTCACAAAAATTATACTTGTAACCAGTAACTAACTTGATAACTTTATATGGATAACTTTGTGGTCGATGTACCTCTAGAGAAAACACCCTCCTCATCTAAATTTCCAAGGGTTGAACTTCTACCGGGAGGTTCAATTGTTGACTTGAAATATGCTGATGACATAGTTCTATTTGGTGAAGACGCTGACAAAATGCGGAGTCTTATGACCACTCTAAGCAACAATGCAAGCATGTTCGGGATGCGATTCTCTCCCTCGAAATGTGAAATGTTGCTTCAGGATTGGGTTACATCGACACCTGAACTAATTATAGGGAGTGAAGTAGTTGAGTGTGTCGACCGCTTCACTTATCTTGGAAGTCTCATCAGCCCTTGTGGTTTGGTGTGTGACGAAATCTCAGCACGGATACAGAAGGCTCGACTAGCTTTTGCCAACTTGCATCATTTATGGCGTAGGCGAGATATCCGTCTATCAATCAAAGGATGTGTTCGTCCCGTCCTACTTTATGGCAGTGAAACATGGCCGGTAAGAGTAGAGGATATTCGTAGGTTACTAGTATTCGATCATAGGTGTCTTCGAAACATTGCTCGTATATCATGGGACCATCGAGTAAGTAACGCAGTTGTTAGGACACCGGTAATAGGTAAGGATGGCAAATCAGTTGATGAAGTAGTGAAACTTCATCAGTTAAGATGGCTGGGACACGTGTTACGTATGCCCAACCACCGACTGCCTCGACGTGCGATGTTCAGTGGTATAGGAGTAGGTTGGAAGAAAGCTAAGGGTGGCCAGACTAAAACATGGCACAAATCCATGGAGTCACTGACAAGTGGACTGAGCCATGTTGTAGGTGTAGACTACCTGGTTGGGGACCACGAGATGATAGCAGCCGATGGTTAGAGACCCTGAATAACATGGCTCAAAATCGTTTGCAATGGTGCAGGTGCATCCATTCTTTGTGTTCTCCAAATTCTAATCTTCTGACTTCTTCATGTCCCTTTCTTCTTCCTCTTTCCAAATTTATTTCATTGGATTATACTCCTTGAATAACATCTTTAAACCCTAATCTTCCAGATTACTTCTTATACTCTTACCGCCTCTATCACTACGAGATTTGAATCGACAACTGCATCTCTGTGCTAATGTGGTAAGGCAACTTGAACTGATGTACGTACGTATGAAGTTCTACGTTGTTACTGACTGACTGACTGAACAAGCTAGGTTGTTCAACGATGAACTGTTGTTAGTACTAATATAAAGAATAAATCAATAATAACAGCCTACAACCTACTACTGTCGATTTAATATATTTTGCTACTTGTAAGTAGTATGATTTTGTCTAGATATTTTCATTTCATCTATCTTACTCAATCGGAAATTTGTATTAATACATTAAAGGTTGAATTACAGTCATGTAAAATGAGCGACATCATCACAACAATATACACATCTATGTAATATGTGTTACTTTTTGTGTGCATGGGCTTACTGAAGAATCTATATTTCTAAGATGCTGAAATCTTAGTAGATTCATCATTAGACCCAAATGATCTGGCGGTAAGCATACAAGTTTTACTTGTTAAAACTGTTAATAATTGAAGATGAAATTTCAACTCAATAGAATAAGTCATTTTTATACAATGCCATATTTAATTATTGAATTGTCAAGATTTCACAAGATGATAGGGGTATACTAACAATGTTAATAACCGCTTTATTCATTATGGTCATCTGATTTTTAAAGAAAAGAAATATATTAAAAAGCTTTTCCTGCCATTCACCTTTATCCACAAAATTATGCCGACTATATCTGTTACTACAATATTTTTTCTATCCTATATGAATACATTTGCTTAACCCAATAAATTTAAAGAAATCACCATTCTATTCCCTACAAGACAGACAAAGAGAAAAATATACCGACCGTAAAGTTTTTCAGTTTGAATTTTATTGATCGTAAGATAATTAATTAGAGTCACCGTTGGGAACCTGGAAGCACTGGACGGCCGTTTTGCCCTATTGCGGAACTCCTCAGAAGTGCGCATCCACGATCCCGCTCGTGAGACTCGAACCCAGGGCCTGCAGCCTCACGCGCGAGCGCCTAACCTACTGCACCGCTGAACCGGCCGGCATCCAATGGTGTTAGTGTCTAATATAAACCAATCCATGAAATTGTGCGACCAGCACTGGATGGTCGTTTCGTCCCATTGTGAGACTCCTCAGCAGTGCTCAACTGCGATCCCGCCTCCCCAGCGAGATTCAATCCCAGGACCTATATCAGAGCGCTTAATCACAAAACTGCTTCTGATATCAAAAGAGTTATTGTTAATTATTTAACCAAATAATAAATTTTAAGATAGAAATCAAACATGTGACCACCTATTCACAATTATCTGAGTGTTATATTCATAACCTTATAAATGTTAGTAAACTGGTTGAATACAATGAGTTGATTGACTTGCCAGTAGTATAATCAATTCAACTAGGGTCAAATCAAAATATTACGAGAAATATTTGTAAGAAAAACCCATGAAATCAATGTATCTTGTCAATGGTTAGTTCTATATTTGTGGTTTATGTATATTATATCTTAGCACAAAATTTCAGAGTTACTAGGTACACTAGAAAAACCATACTCTAATACTTTATTTACAAAATATTCGTTAATTGTTTCAGACTTCATTGTTCCTGTATTTTCATACCAATCCCGTTCATCCCTTCTCGATTTTTTCAATCTCCTGCTATCAAACATTCTATTCCTGACTCTCATTATATACTACTTATGTCGATATAAGTAGTACACACTACATATTTATCTGACTTTATATTTACGTGTGTTAAACCATCTGTCTGTATACCTTATATTATCATTAGGTGGTTATAAGGTATTTGAGTTCTCACTAATAATCTATTAGTATACTGCGTTCATTAAACTAGATTTAATCAAATTGTTTTAAACTACACAGCAACAACGTTTATTTTCAAAGAAATCTATGGTTAAACACTTAAAAACGTCGTAATTCATTTACAGTCTCTATGTCTATAACTATATCTATACCTATGAGGTTATATGTATGAAATTGATTTATTAACTTGTTATTATCAATTCTGATGATCATCAATTAGTGATTGTAAAATACATTTATATACTGATTAGTTCCAAATGAACATTTTCTGACTTTTCTTATTATTATCTTTTAAAGTTCTTAGCCTTTTGGTAATTGGTGCTGTACGTTTTGTGCCAGTTGGATTTTGTACATATATATTTGGTTATACAATATCTGCTTATTCATGTAAGTTATCAAAATGTTCAATACAATACAATGACAACTTTAATATCAATGGTTTAGATCATGAGTCAGTTGAAGCTAGACCACCATGGAAAATCTGGAAGCACTGGAAGACCGTTTTGTCCTACTGTGGGACTCCTCAGCAGTGCGCAACCACAACATTGCCCCCTGAGAGATTCGAACCCAGAACCTACTGGTTTCGCGCGTGAGCACAATTTTAATAGTTGAATTTATGAGTCTATTAAAGTTGCACTACTATGGTAAACCTAGAAAAACACTGGATGGCTGTTTTTTTCGAGTATGCGACCAGTAGAGTTCAACCGTATATGTTGTAGAAGTAGTTACTCACTGAAGACAATGATGAATGGTGGAACAATTTCATGGATTGGTTAAAGTTAGATATTAACACCGTTAGATACCGGCTCAGTAGTCTAGAGTTTAGGCGTTCACCCATGAGACTGATAGGTTCACGGTTTGAGTCTCTCATACAAAATTTTAGATGCGCACTATTGAAGAATCTCGTTCTAGGACGAAACGGCCGTCCAATGTTTTTCTAGGTTTACCATGGTTATCTACCTTTAATTGACTCATGAATTCAACTATTAAATAACAATACTTCATTTCGTTACAACACTAGTAATCATAAGGTGTAATAGTGTTTTTTATTACAATAAGATGTATTCATTTGATACTTACTACCATGTTGATAATTATTGCTTTGACATTGTACTGATAGACTAAGACCATTGTCTTGTTTCTATATGGAATAATAATGAATATAAAATTAAATTTCATATATGTAACAATTATATAATGTACAGTTACAAAGTTATTTATTAGGCTAGAGGTTGGAGAGCAGACAAGAGAGAGAGAGAGGGAGAGGGTGAGCGAGAGTGAGTGAGTGTGAGAGGAATGTATGTACAGAGATGTGATGTCATTTGATTATAGTTGATAGGGTATTATTTTTTCTTCTTTCAATTTGTCGGCAATAAAAATTAAAGATAACATCAAAGTTAAAAAGTAATACCAATATAATTAAAGTGTTTAACCATAAAGAAAGTAAAGGATAGTTAGACTGATGACTAGAACGATACACAAGTAAGACTTATGGTATATACTAAGTAAAAGATGTATTTATAAAATATATAAATGATTATACTGTTGACAATCAATGAATGAATAATACTATTGAAGTGAATAATAGTTATACATGGAAAATAGGCTAAATAAATTGATTTTTGATTGGTTGGATATTATTCATTCAATTCTCAATGTAGACAACAACATGGATCTAGGTAAATCTGACTAATGATTTCTAAACAAAGCAAAATACGCATACACACACAATTTATTACTAATCATAGTCTAGTTTAGGTGATTAGGTGACGAAAAAGATCAAGACATTGAAAAGTTCATTGATTATTCTGCTGTCTGGAGTCAGTTATTGAGAGGATGAAAAGCGAATATCCGGCGCTTTAACCAGGTTGGTGGACACGGATGGTTCACTAGGGAAGTTGGAAAACCCTGATTCCTAACCAATGTTCCACACGGTCTCCAGGATCCTAAGGGAACAAATGGCGTATGAATCAATTATTGGTTACCGGCTACCATGGGACTGCATCTCCTCACGATGCTCCACTGCCTTGTGGATCAGACCTTTGGGTCGAAGGCTCCGAGTGTGACTCCCTAAGAAAACCACCTGCTTCGGTCCGGAAACCCGGGCTGTATCACAGCCCACACGTAAATGAAGTGACTTATGTAGCACATGTGCATGCCGTGCTCCTTGATACCGATATTTATGTGTTCAAATAAATAAATAATGGAAATCCAAACGGACAGTATTAGCTACCTATTGACTATCAGTAATATATACACTTACTTATTTCACAAGCCCTCAAAATTCCTCAGAATGGTCGAAATTGAAAGCACTTTAGTCAGCTTGGTCGACACGGAAACTCCACCTAGTATAGTTGGGAAACCCTGATACCAAACCATTAGTGTACACGGGCTTCAAAACAAAAGACATATGACAGATGATGTATGAACCGATTGTCGGTTACCACCCTCTCCTAAAGCTACTTTAGCACCTCATGGTTTGAGCCTTTACGTCTACAATTCATTGGCGTTGACTCCTTAGAAAATCTAAGTCCTCTAAGAAATACTATGTTGACTTTGTGTGGGAGACAAAATCCTTTGGTTCCTGGTTGCATCAGATTTAATGTGAATTAAAGAAACTGAACACCCTACAAACACAGTTTTTTAGTTAGATCAATATGTATAAGCGAACAATATTGTTCTAAGTCAGATCTTCACCAAACCTAACTCTAGTACATTCTAGTTATATTTTTATGAATATATGAAGATTAAACAATATATTCTCAGAAATCAGATTTACATATGAAATACATAACAAATCGCGTTGCCTTGAAGTTTTGTTAAAGACAAACGGGAATAACTCTATCAGTAGAATTGTGTATGATATTACACACGGTTCTTTAGGTTTTACCTATTTGTTACAAGAGAAAGGTAATTAGATACTCGACCAATAGAGCTGAGAAGACCTTTTTCAGACGATGCAATAAACAAGGTACCAGAGTTTATTGAAATGGGTTACGCTCAAGGGTTTCGAAGAAATCTATGCAAGTAGTAAATAATAAAATAATTCCATCGACAGCTAACGTGAAACTACTCTTCCTGACGCTACAAAACAACAGAAATACAGTCGTCAATGTATAATGATTATGAATCTTTCTTTGACATGTTTACAAATATTCCATTATTACATCATAACAGTTTTGTTCTACTCTTTCTTTTCATGAAATATCTTATTACATCCTTTTATTTTGACTGTCTTCCGGATTAGTAATCCCATTTTGATTGACTGAACTTTATTCATTTTATTCTTACTTATTAACAACATTTACTCATTACATTACCCTTAGAATGGCAAAGAGTTGATCAACTTCTTTCTGTCACATTTGGTCGATAATGCTCAGTTAGTTGATAGAACAATGATTCAGAGTAATTTATCGTTTATCTACTATCTTTTCTTATAGGGTTTCATCTTGTCTCTTACACATAGCAGAAGCTAAAGGGATTCGAGCTAATGACTCAGGTTTTTGTGTTCATAATAAATTTGTAACCATCTTATCTCTTCCTTGATCGAGATAGCCATAAAAAATGATTTTACTTATTTTTCAAACCCTTTGTCCTCCCATTTGTCTCCACCACTTTTTCACAAAATTATTTCCGTGTCTACTTTTCCAAATCTTTGCCTTACTTCCTGCTAAAAAAAACATTGATTCAAGCCTTTATAATTGTTTTAACAACTAGTACAACTATCATTACACTATCCAATGTTATCAATAACTCATAAATCGCCTTGACTAGTTTAATATTTTAATATATACTTACTTACTTACTTACGCCTGTTACTCCTCGTGAAGGAGCATAGGCCGCTCACCAGCATTCTCCATCCAACCCTGTTCTGGGCAATCCTTTCTAGCTCCCTCCAGTTGTTGTTCATCCTTTTCATATCTGATTCTGTTTTCCGACGTAATGTGTTATTTGGCCTTCCTCTTTCCCACTTCCGCCTGTAGCTCTTCTAGAGTTTCTACCGGTCTCAAGCCTGGGTAAAGGAGGAGGGTTTGGCATGGGGTTAGCGACCCCATACCGCAGAAAACTAACTTGCTAAAAAAACGTTAACCATAAAAAATAATTTTCATATATACATAAAAGTATTACTGTTTATGCGAATGAAGCCTGATTAAGATCTTACAGAAATCAATATTTTTAAGCAGAGATAGATGTTGGTTAACAGTGGAATTCAAGGTGTTCATTTCATCTTATTGAAGATTTGTCAGCTGAATATTCCCTCTTAGCCATTATTCATATCTGCTTAAGAATACTTTTTGATTTAATAATAATATCAAGGCAAATAGTATAGAATGCACATATTATCAAAACAGACTAATCAATATTAATCCTAATCACCAGTTACGTAATCTAAACAATCAATAAACATTATTGGTGAGACTAATTTATAGACGACCTTTGAACGAAGCTTGAGTGACCTTGAGCATATTAGCCAATCAGCAAACAGTCAGCATAGAGTAAAAAGATGTTATACAAAACCAAGGAAATAAAGTGGATGCACTTCTTATACGGGGTTCGAAAATTTGTCAAGGTTAGAAAGAGTTTCGGAAGTTCTAAAATCGTAATGCATGCAGTAGAGGAAATCATCCACACGGCTACAGGATAGTCGGGCTCTGGCGCCATGATAAGGTCGCAAAAATTTTTTCAGCCTCAACCACATAGCTTCAGTATTGTTTGTATGCACTCCGGTTGTTGAGTACATAAAATGCCACTTGTGGATAACGACACGATGCACATAACCAAGCCTATGTAGGAGTCTGTACGCTCTCCAAACATCCGTATATATTGTAGTACCTGGCTGCAGATAGGTATTATTATCTAGTTCGCAATAATTGTCGTAAATTGCCTTAGTTAGAAATTATATATGGGGTTTTCATCACGAACTGACATCAACTATAATGTCAGAAATTTATTTAGCCAAATGGATGAAAGGTTTTCGCATTAAAATCCGAGATCTATTATCTTATGCCTGATTGATTCGTCCACAAATTATAGTCCCGCCGTTTTATTTGTTATAGCCGCTCAATTATCACGTTTTGTACAAAATTCCCTGTGAACCGATCGTACGTTAGCATTAGGCATTGAAGTTGGCGCCGTAACCTTGAAATCTCTAAAACGCTTCGGATTGGCTCACCCATAAATTAGAGACTCGCCACATTATTAAAGCAGAAATTTCAATTTACTTTCAAATGTTGTTTATTTTCTATTAAAATCTTAATTCACAACATAAAATCAATAAAAAATTATTTATCATAATGTTGTTTCTCTTTTTTCCTCTTTTTTTTGTTTCTAATCAACATTCAATTATGACAAATTGTTGCTATGTGATATTAGTACTGATGATTTTCTTAATTGTTCGTCTATGGATTCATATTATGAGTTTGAAATATGCATATTGGTGGAAGAATGATGTATTCAATCAAAGTCATTTATTAAGTCATGTAACATTTACAGTTATTCTATGCATTTGTTTATTTATTTTAGTAAGTTATAGTAATATGCATATTTTGTTTCTGGCTAGCGTTTTTTTTGGTGAGTTAGTTTTCTACTGGGTGGGGTCGCTAACCTTATGATCAACCCATCCTCTTTTGCACCCGGGCTTGGGACCGGCAGTAACTCGAGAAGAGCTACATGCAGAGTTACATATATATATATATATATATATATATATATATATATATATATATATATATATATATATATATATATATATATATATATATATATACTCATTTATATTTATAATACACTTCAGTGATTTGTTTTACATAACAGATTGTAGTACTTTTCTTCATGTTTGACATTTATAAATGGCGTCTATGAACAGATGGATACCTCAGAGTCGTCTATATTTATGTGATTTTCGTATTTATCTATAATACGTAACAGTGAAATTCAAGTTATATATTGTATACGATTTTGAACTGACTGATTACTCACCTGAGTTCCTGTTTTACTAAACAGTTTTCAAAGTCTGATACTGATATATGTTTCCTATATGTGAAGTCTGTCAACGATTGAATTAAGAAAATGAAGTATGATTAGGAAGTTTATATTAGGTAACTTGAATTCAGATGTATTTACGACACAATCATTAACATAGATATGTATCTTAAAGAAAATTAAGTCAGATTTTCAAACAAAACATTAGACAGAGGAAACACAAAGAAACAGGGTATTCTTAAAAGCATAGTACTCTGGTAACTCGTCGGCCAATAGACATTTCGAAAATGACTTAATATATTAACCAATAAAGGAAAGAATAAATAACTCCAAGATCAGACATTAGATCAGAGGTAAAAACAATCAAAACAAATATGTAAGCAACGGTCACACATCGATCGACCACAACCAGCCAAATTCTAGGTCAACAGAATAAGAAACCGGTCAATTGTTGAGTAATTCTAGATAACTCACTTCTTATCGAAGTGTATGCTGATGATGCTGTTGAGAAAGACTATGAAGGTTTCACGATTAGACACTCCAGTTCAAAGGACATAGCACCTTCAGTAATCTACAGTTTACCGTTATAAACTATGATATATGCAGACTTCATTAATTTAAGACATTAAGGGGGAAATTATACTTGTAGAAATCCTAGATGTTGAACTTAAAATAAGTTCAGCGTTTCAATCGGCAGTTTGATCCAAGTGCTTTCAAGGTACTATGATCAAAGTAACTATACGATAATTTAATGCTTTGATGTATTAGAAGTTATATAAAACTTGATTGTTCTGTAAAACAGTGAAATTCTAACATTGAAGGTTACTTGGCTAAAGCTATTACATTATTCAGCATACCACACTCCACTGGTTCATGCTTTTGAATCTAATAACTATACCTTAATGTCATCATTTTATTTATCGAACATAAGTCTCACATTTTTCAATTCTTTTGAAGAATGGATAAAACCACTGAACTCAGAATACATAAAATAATAAAAATCGTCCACATGAACTATGAATCTTCTTCCTCATTTTATAATTCAATAGCCAAGTACATTTATTTATTTATTAAAATACACAAAACATTGGTACAAGGGGGTATAAAATATATTTGCGACACACTTCCTCATTCAATTTGTGTGAGGTCTGCAACACTACCCGAACGTCCAGACCGAGGCAGATGGTTTTCTTAAGGAGTCACTCCCCGAGCCTTTGACCTAAAGGTCTAATCTACAAGACAGTAGACATTCGTTTCCTCAGGAACCTGGAGCCTATGTGCACCACTGGTTTGAAGTCAGGATTTTTCAACTCCTCCAAGCCCTCCATATCCACAGACTTTATTAAAGAACCGAATGTTCATATTTCGTCCTCTCGATTTCGTAAACAACACTCTTACTGCAAAAAGGCATTAAGTAAAAATTTCCTGGCAACGACTGTATACACGCGACCATGTAGGAAACACATCAAGACTGATAACGAGCTCTCATCACTCTCAGCTGTACTAGCACATTTGTATACTAGTTTGATGATGAATCATTATCTTTGAACAAGAAGCATCATGTGCAGATGTAAAGGTAAGGATTGAAGAAGCAATGGACGCATCCCCACAATTCAAAAACATATGCATCTCAAAACAACTGTCCATCAAATAACATCAAAGTCACAATCTTCAATACGAACGTCAACACAGTTCCAATATACGGAGATGAAACTCTATGAACTATTACAACCATCATCAAAACAATACAAGTATTCATAAATTATTGTCTACGCAAGATACTCAACATCCATTCTCCAGATACCATCAGCAACAGCCTACTGTGGAAGAGAACGAATCAGATTCCACATGAATAGGAAATTAGGAAAGGCTATGGAATTGGATAGAACATACATTACTCAAATCATCAAACTACATCACGAAGCAATCCCTAACATGGAATGCTGAAGAAAAGCAAAAGCCTGGAAGGTCAAAGAATACATTACGTTGAGAAATAGAAACAGTCATGAAACGAATGAATAACAACTGAAAATAACTGGAAAGGCTTGTTTGAGACAGGTTTGGATGTAGAGTGTTGGTGGTTGGCCTATTCTCCTCTACGAGGAATAACAGCCGTAAGTAAGTAAGTAAGTTGGTGATGAATATTTCAAGAACAAGAGATAATATTCAACTCTATTCACTGTATACTAATAGTATTAAGATTTCAAATGACAAACAAACTAGTTCCAACCTAAATATTTTAACTAGAAAAAAATAGTTATTTTATTTGTTGTTATGCATTTTTAATGTATCCACCTTTTCATTGTTCTTGTTTTTGTTTTTTTCCTTCACCATAATTTCCATCTATTAGATATGCATCATTTGTTTAAATTCATCATTGAGAAATTCAACAAGTCAATGGCAAAGTACAATACAATTTATTGTTGAAGCATTATTTGTATTATTATCAGATTGTTTAACTGAATTATATGGATTCATAATCATTATGTTAATCATAATAATGATAGGGAATAGTTTATTATGCTTTCTATCTGTATATAGTTTATTACATATATTTGCTATGGGTAAGTTTATTCATATTAACATGTGGTATTATTAAATTATTTCTTGATAAAGTGATAGAAGAACCTAGTTTGACAGAGATTTTTGTTTGTGTATATAGGTACTATTCAGAAGAGTGTATCTATATTCTTAAGATGACTGGTGCTTCACCACCACCACCCTTTAAAATCTAATTGTGAGATGGTGAAGATTTGTAGCTCAGGTGAATGATTTTGATGGAGTTTTGTTCTCTGAGTTGGATGGTTTTGTCGTGAAGCTTTCATCGTTCTTCTGAACGACATCATCAGCACAAACTTCCGATTCTTGGTTCTTATGAGAATCAATCAACGTCAAGGTGTACAGAGCAAGCTGTGAAACGCATATAAAGAAATTCGATCACTTCACTTCTATCAGAAGTTTGTTCTGATGATGTCTTTCAGAAGAACGATGAAAGCTTCATGACCAAACCATCCAGCTCAGAGAACAGAACTCCATCAAAATCTAATTATCCTATATCATGTTATGATTGAGCCCTTTAGGCAACCATTGTCCTATTTTAGGATTGAGAGATATCCATTAATCGATCACTGAGTAGTAACAGATGTTAGTTATGAGTAGTTAGTTACGTGGCCATCATTCATATTCTCTTTAAGGATACAAGTATTTAAAGTGATAGATGGATATCTAATCTAAACTGTGATTTATTACTTTTTAAAAGTTAACAATAGGGTTGATATTCAAAAATTGTTCAGTGGTAACATTTATAGTAACGGTAATATTATTATTCTATCCTGATTAAATTTACGAATAATCTGTAAAATCTATCAATAAATGACTGATATAGTTGACTAACTGCTAATCGGAAAGATTAGGGTTTGAAGATGTTATTCAAGGAGTATAATCCAGTGAAATTCATTTGGGAAGAGAAAAAGAGAACATGGAGAATTCCGAACATTGGAATTTTGGAGAACACAAAGAGTGGATGCACCTGCGCCATTGCAAATGATTTTGAGCGATGTTATTCAACATCTCTAACCATCGGTTGCTATCATCTCGCGGATCCCAACCAGGTAGTCTACACCTACTAACATGAATCAGTCAACTTGTCAGTGACTTCATGCATTTGTGCTATGTCTTGGTCTGGACGCCCCTAGCTTTCTTCCAACCTACTCCTGCACCATAAAACATCGCACGTCGATGCAGTCAGTAATCGGGGTTATCTAACACGTGTCCAAGCCATCTCAACTGATGAAGTTTCATTACTTTATCAGTTGATTTGCCATCCTTACCCAGTACCCGTTTCCTAACAACTAATTTACTTATCCAGTGGTCCCAGGATAGACGAGTGATGTTTCGAAGACATCTATGATCGAATACAAGTAACCTCCGAACATCCCCTACTCTTACCGGCCATGTTTCACAGCCATAAAGTAGGACGGAACGAACTGCTGTACAATAAACCCGTTCTTTTGGTTGGTAGACGGATATCTCACCTACGCCATAAATGATGCAAGTTAGCAAAAGCTAGTCGAGACTTATGTATCCGTTCTGAGATTTCGTCACACACCAGATCACAAGGGTTGATGAGACCCCAAGGTAAATGAAGCGGTCGACACGCTCAACTACTTCAATCCCTATCACTTGTTCACGTGTCGTCGCAACCCAACCCTGAAGCTACATTTTGCATTTCGAGGGGAGAATCGCATCTCGAAAATGCTTGCATTGTTGCTTAGAGTGGTCAGAAGACTCTGCATTTTGTCAGAGTCTTCACCAAATAGAACTATTTCATCGGTATATTCTAAGTCAAATATAAAAGGTAGTTAGATTCAGGAAATCGTGCATCTGGGTCTTGTCGTGGTAGGCATTTATAACTAAGATTTATTGACATATCTGAGCACAATAATAATTTTAAATAAATTCTAAGCCACACCTATCATTGTTACAATCTGTGACCCTACTTTACTATTAAGTGTTTAGTAGATAACCATCAACCAGTATGAAATGTTTTTGGTTTAGTTTTGTTCTCTAAGTTGGATAGTTTGGTCATGCAGCTTTCATCCACCTGAGTTACAAATCTTCTCAACCACCAATATGAAATGTATTCCTAATACTTCACATTGATCACATTGATCTTAAATTGAATAACAGTCTAAACAAGTTACATGTTTAGTCTACTACTTTCAACTAAATTTACTTATGTACATAGTTATATTTGTATTAGTTTTGTTGTCTACTATTAATCCAAGTTTATCTTTCTTCATATTCAACAGTAGTTCTTGTATCTTATAAGATAAAGTTAAATAGATATAGTCTATTTGTTTATCACTACCATGGTGATTTACCTCAAATTACTTCATACATAAATACATACATACATAAGTCATACATACACACATACATGCAATTTATTATAAGATATAAGACAAGTGTGAATTTATATTATAATCTGTGTTACGTAGATGTATTTCCTGTACGACTAATTATATTATGATAGCTATAAAATGAATAGAAATCAGTTGAAGAAAACTGTAATCTTTCATACTACTTAATTTATATCAGTATTAAGTATGTTTTATCTATTATGATTGTTTCCATGATCAGTGATTGAAGTCATTGTGTGACATGACTTAGAATCGATCATAGTGGCGTAGATACATTTCGTTTTTATCTTTCCGATTGTTTTGAGTTCCCGTGTTTCTCTATACATCTTTCTTTTTCTGTCTTTTAGAACCATATTCCTATTGATGGTTAGACTTTCTCATTGTGATTACCATATAATTTTGATTCCCTCACTATTCAATGTATTCATTTCATCATGTTGTCTTTAAGTAGTACGATAATCTAAGTACGTGTACATCTGTACCATGCTCTATGTTCATTATGACTAACTTACTTACATACTTATGCCTGTTCTTCCTCGTATAGGCCAACCACCAGCATTCTCCATCCAAACCTGTCCCAAACAAGCCTTTCCAGTTATTTTCAGTTGTTATTCATTCTTTTCATAACTGTTTCTATTTCTCAACGTAATGTATTCTTTGACCTTCCAATGTTTGCTTCCCTTCAGCATTCCATGTTAGGGATTGCTTCGTGATGTAGTTTGATGATTTGCGTATTGTATGTCCGATCCATTTCCATAGTCTTTCCTAATTTCCTATTCATATGGAATCTGATTCGTTCTCTTCCACAGTAGGCTGTTACTGATGGTATTTGGAGAATGGATGTTGAGTATCTTGCGTAGACAATAATTTATGAATACTTGTATTGTTTTGATGATGGTTGTAATAGTTCATAGAGTTTCATCTCCGTATATTGGAACTGTGTTGACGTTCGTATTGAAGGTTGTGACTTTGATGTTGGTTGATGACCAGTTATTATGAAATCCATATGTTATTGAATTGTAAGAATGCGTTGATTGCTTCTTCAATCCTTGCCATTACATCTGCATATGATCTTCCTTGTTCATCGATGATGCTTCCCAAGTACCTGAAGCATTCCATATCTTCCAGAGTTTCGCCATCAAGCGTGATTGGGTTGATGTTCTCCGTGTTGCATTTAGGAATCTTGCTTTTATGTTTGTGTATTTTGAGGCCTACTGATGCAGAGACTGCTGCTACACTAGTTGTCTTCATCTGCATTTGTTCTTGTGTATGATTTAGGAGGGCTAGGTTATCTGCGAAGTCTTATTCGTCTAATTGGTTCTGAGTTGTTCATTGTATTCTATGTTTTTCCTCAGATGTCGAGGTCTTCATAATCCAGTCAACCACCAGAAGAAAGAAGAAGTGGGAGAGAGTAGACAGACTTGTCTGAATCTTGTAGAAAACTAACTCGCTAAAAAACTCTAATCAGAAGAAAACTACGACTAACTGATCGACAGAAAATATTCCTTATTTTAAAATGCACCATCATTATCTACAATTTCTTTTCCAGTTTTAAATCAACTATATATGTCTTGGATTTAATCACAATCTAGTATAAACTAACTGAAATGACATAGATTTCAATGACATATTTAATGTTTTCTTTTGATTGACATATTATTTATGAATACTTGTATGGTATTGTCTTAACAATGAAAGTTTTTTGAATGATTTGATATAGAAAAAACATTGAAACAATGGCGTCAAAATCTAAATCAAAAAGAAAAATCTACTGAATATGAATTTCTGAAAGACTTTACATACTACTAACTAAACCAAAGAAAAAAAGTAGTATAATTTCTAAAGAATTAATATATCAGATATAATTTAACATGGTTCAAAGGAAAGATTGGAGTTTCATGATTAATATTTAGTATTATAAGTAACGTTATGAACGTTATGTATTCGTATACCCATTTTTAATGCAGGGTAGTTATTTATTAGAAACAGTAACCAGTTGAAGTTCAATCTCGTCTGCTGTGAGATAGTTAGTCACAGAAGACAGTCGTGGATGTGTCGCTCAATTTCATGCATTAGTTGAAGTTAGACATTAACACTGTTGGATGCCGGCTGGCTCAGTGGCCTAGTGATTAAGCGTTCACGCGCATGAAGCGAAAGGTCCTGGGCTCGAATTCCACGGGCGGAATCGTGGATGTGCACTGCTGAGGAGTCCCACAGTAGAGCAAGTTGGACATGAACTGCTTCCAGGTTTCCCATGGTGGTCTAACCTCAATTAACTCATGATTTAAACTGTTAAAATTACTAAAATACCCACAAAACCGTTTCTAATATTTATCATACAGTTGTTTCATTTCATACAGTGTTTTATTGATTGTTAGATACACATTTGATATCGTCATTTGAATCTTCTGTAGGGTTATAGGTGTACAGTAATAAGTTGTTCAAAAATAGGACAAAACAGACCTCCAATAACTTTTCCACTTTTGTTCTGTAGTTCTTTAAATAGTATCAGTTTATCCTGAAGATTATCTCCTAATTTACTAACTGTTTGACAGGAACTATGGGACTATGGGACTCCTCAGTAGTGCGTATCCACGATCCCGCACCCCGTGAGATTCGAACTCAGGACCTATCAGTCTCGCGCCAGGCGCTTACCCAGGTTTTCCATGGTGATCTAGCTTCAATTGACTCATGATTTCAACCAGTAAATATATATGACTAGATTTTATTAGCAGCATACTGATTATTGTAAACTTTAAGCACTGATATGAGATTATGTAATGATTAACAGTAACATTCAAAAAAATAGTGACGCCAGTCATCAGCATTGGATACATTGGATCAAAGTAATTTACATGTCATGTTATCATCACATCTATTCTATCGGAAGTTTGTTGTCTTATGCTTACAATACTCTAATATATTTAGAGTTGAATAATCTTTAATATATTGACTTTATTTATTGTATACTTGACTAAAAATGAACGACAAGTAGAATTTCGTATTCAGTTGAATCATTTCAACAAATTTGGATCAAAGTAACTTAATTGAATTATATTATACAATATTGTAAGACTATCACAAAGAGTAATAATGGAAGCATCGTTAAAAGATATAATTCTAATTCTTCAATGACATTTATCTTTTGAGCAATTCACCTTTCTTTGATGGATAGTCTATATGTAAAGAGTTTTGTATATATATAGGTTATTTAAGAGAAATTAACAGAATACGTGGTGAAATCATTATACTTTCTAAACATTGTTTGTTTTATAAGCAAAGATGGATAGGGGATAGCAGTGGAATCGTCCTATTTGGGACTCGTCAGCTGGATGTACCTACATCCTAGAGTTGATGTTCACTTTGGGACTCGGACCCAGTGTCGTTCTCTTCAAACACCACCACGTTATCCTGATAGCCACTTGCTTGTGCAATGGGGTGAAAATTAATTCACTTGGTATTGTTTTATTTGAATGTTCACATTGATGTTTAGGACTGCAGTTGATCAGGCCATATCAAGGCAAGACACACAGTATGCACATATGCCAATAAGAGACTGATCAATCGCAGTCCTAAACATCAATGGGAAAATTCAAGCAAATAATACCAAGTGAATTGTTTGTTTTCTTAACTTTGAGTATTTGTTTGTCCGATATCAATAATGATAGTGATGTGTAGTGTCGGTTTTGGGTCAGACAACCTGGACTAATTGAATGCTGATAATCAGCAGTGAATATGATATTCCTTGATAGTAGATGATCTTTCAAATGTAATATGTCTTATATTAAGGGAAAGGTTTTGTTCATTACACTTATATATATAGGCGTTGTTACATAAAACGTACATTATTATTCATTGGGAAATTGCTTCACTTTACTTAAACCTGTTACTCCTCGTTGAGAAGCATTAGCCACCCACCAGCATTCTGTATCCAACCCCGTCCTGAACAATCCTTTCCACTCCTTCCAGTTGCTATTCATCCTTTTTATGTCTCTTTCTAATTCCCAACAAAGTGTTCTTTGGCCTTCCTCTTTTCCGTTTTCCATCGTGATCCTCGTGAAGCAGTTTGATGATTTCTGTAATGCATGTCCTATCCACTTCAAACGTCTTGATTTCCTCTTTAGCTGGGAGCTAGCTTGTCCTCTTCCACGGTAAGCTGTTTTTGATGGAGATTGCCATCTGTGTGTATCTACACACACTTGTTGTGATGTTACTATTCAAGCTGTTTTTGAGCATACAATGTTCGAAACTCTTATGTTGATTAAATTAAATTTTGACTTTTAAAATTTTTATTTAACTTGTTTAGTTTATATCACCATCTGATGATTTTTGTATGTTGCAAGCGCGAAGCCTATTGAAATACATTAAATGAGTTATACATCTAATTCGTGCTAAAAATTACAAGTTTTATCTTGACAACAAAACAATTTGATTAAAATCATGAAGCGATTGATGTTAGACCACTATGGAAAACCTGGAAGCCCGTTTCATCCTAGTGTGGGACTCCCCAACAGTGCGCATCTACGATCCCACCGCGCGGGATTCGAACCGTGGATCTATCAACCCCGCAAGCGCATAACCTTCCTCTCTAGAATACTGAGCCGGCATCCGACGGTGTCAATGTCTAACCTCAACCAACCCACGAAGTCGCTCTACCGGCTAAATGGTTTAGAGGTTAAGCATTCGCGCACGAAACTGATAGGTCCTGAGTTTGAATCCCGTGAGCGGGATTGTGGATATGCACTGCTGAAGAGTTCCACAATGGAACAAAACGTCTGTCCAGTGCTTCCAGGTTTTCAATGTTGGTCTAACATCACCCCATTCATGATCTCAATAAAAAAACAATTGAATAATCTCCATAACACTATACTGAAGAAAATTTGACATTTTGTACAGAAAAACAAAATGGTATATTATTATTATTCTTTACTCATTTTCTTAGTTGAACCAATTCGATTAAAGTTTACTGGATGTTTGGATTTTCGACAAATCGGTTGGATTCAATATGGATTTTTACCTGTATATTTATTATATTGTATATGGATTATTCGTTTTTATTCAAGTTTTTGTCAAATCTTTACAACAATATTCATTTCTAATTGGTAAGTGGATAAATATTTATTGATTATTGTAGAATACTGCACCTTTTAGCAACAATGGTAAATTTGAATACAATGATGATGACATTGCGTACACTATACTGAGATAAGATGGTGGTTGGAGATAGTCAACAGGAAACCCTGAACCTGACATACATGACACTGACCATCACCCAGTGATCAACAAATTGTAAATACATCTCAGTCCTCCAGGAGTTCAGTCGTAGCCCGGCTAGCTCAGTGGTAACGTCTCTGACTGTGAAGTTGGGTGACACGGGATCGAATACGTCAGGAAGCATCAGTTCCCTCATGATTACAGCTACACGTTGCTGACGAGGGCCAAGTGGCACGAAACCAAGGTCCAGCGTTTCCTGTTGACTACCTTCAATCACCATCTTAATGATGATGAACATAAAACTTTCTCAATCATTCAGTAGTATCTTAATGTATAATGTAATATGTTTAGCGTAGCAATTTGGACGACTCTTCCGGTCTCCCACATTGTACAAGCATTCCATGTACCTAAATTAATGGTTACTCTAGTTGTCAGAATAAGCATCAGTCTCGTGACTTCCGAAGGAACTCGGTTTTCACCATGAAGTGTCATAACTCTTCTAAATGAAGACCTTCTAACTCCCAGGGCAGAGTTTAAATGGTTTGAATTTTTGTTTTCTAGTTAGCGTTTTTTAGCAAGTTAGTTTTCCACGAGATAGAGTCGCTAACCCCGTGCCAAACCTTCTTCCTTTATCCGGGTTTGGGACCGGCAGTAGCCTCAGAGGGGCTTTAGGCAGAGGTAATATATTTGGTAAGAATATATTTTTTTGGTATTTATCTATAATGAGATAGCTTACTTCCTAAAGTATTCAATTTGAATCGTTTTTCATCTACCCGGCTATAAATGGCATGACATATTGTTATGACACAATTACACAACGATTAGGATTCGTTACAGTACAGATGACACAATGAGTTCAACAAGTAAATTAACACATTTATAGTGAATAAAGATTTGCTATATCTCCAGTCCAATTGATAATACAACATATTTGTGGTTCAGAAACTTATAGCACAGCATACAGCACAATGTAAACTTGATTGAATGAAACATCATATGTAATTAAAAGTTTTCTTTCCTAATAAAATTTTGATCAGTCTTAGCTGATATATGTACATTCTGTGCCGATTAACCAGGTACACTCATATTTGTTACAAGTTTATTTTATAGAGTCCCGGTGTGAACATCAATGATCTGATTAACTACATTTATCAACTGATTTTTTTCGATTAAGATCATGAACCTATTGATGTTAGACCACCATTGAAAACCTGAAAGGACTGGACGATTGTTTCGTCCTATTATGGGATTCCTTAGCAGTGCACATCCACAATCCCGCCTCACGATATTCAAATTCAGGGCCTTTAGTCTCGTGCGTGAACGCTGAACCTCTAGACCATTGATCCGGCCGGCATTCAATGGTGTTAATTTCTAACCTCAACCAAAATAGGACGAAACGGCCGTCCAGCGTTTCCAGGTTTTCATTGATGATCAAAAACTTAAAAATCTCCACAACCCTATACTGAAAATTAAAAAACAGAAAACTTTTGTTCTAAATGCTCATAAGACTGATGATATCCATGTCAAAATATGCGGGTTTTTTGTTTGTAATTGAACTGAGTAATAAAACACAATGTAATAAAAAGATTTTTCCCTAAAAATTGGATACCACAGTTCTTTTTTTTACTTTTTATTTAATTACTCAAATGAGTCAGATAATTTAGGGCGTTTGCATTTTTGTATTTGAATAATTATGCCAAAACAAAAAGAAATGATCTCTATGACAGATTTGTAACATGGTCTTTATCTTGTAAAATAACCATAGTGATTAATTAATTAATTAATTAGTCAGTAAGTTATTGGTATTCAATGTGTAAGATGATAATTATTTCATGTAGTGCAATCTAAATACATTTTGTTAGTATCGTTTGTTAGGTTACTGGTATTTATCTATGGGGTATTAACAACAAAATGATTGTAGATCACTAACATAGATGATCTATGTTGAATGATTGGGGGGGGGGAGCTACTTGAATTAGACTGGAATGGTGTGGCGGAAAACTAATTTTGAAGTCACATCCTAATGGTCAGAGCCTAACGTGAATTATCCTTTCGATGTATGAAGGTACTATGGCTGCTTTGAAGACAGTAAAACATAGAGGACGTTATTACGGTAATATAAGATTAAGAACGAGTACAGAGAAGATAGTGAGACCATCACTGAATGGGCTAGTCCATGGCATACGATTAACTGATGTGCGTTGGTTGTCCTTGGCCTTGACGGGGACCGATGAACTGTTCGGTATTCAGTAACCCAACTGTTGGATGATATAACTGTGGCTCAGTGATATTTCACTGGCCTTATATTATCAACTAATTTTATGTCGTGATAATAGTATCAAAATCAAGTTCATTCAAATTTCGATACACCATAATACTTTTTCAATAGGTTAGTTATCTGTACACTATTATGCACTTTGAAATCGTTGAATACAATCTTCTAAAAACACTCGACCTTAGTTTCATGCTCCCTGAAATAATGCTCCTTTGAGAAGAAAAACGAGTCAAACAGTGTCGAACTTGATACATCATTCCTGAGATATTGTTACCATGACTAAACCTAGATTCAAATTTTCTTTCCAATCAAACACAATGGTTTAGGTGTATACACTCTCTGTCTTCCCTTAAACTGTGAGAATAAAACTGCGTTATAGCTTTCTTTCTTCCTGTACTACATCCTTATATGCAATCCTTCCTTTATATATTACTACTAATGAATTAACTTTTTTATTTATTTCAACACATAGATAATGGTACAAAGAGGCTCCAAATACATATGCGCCACACAAATATCATTTGATATGTGTGGAGGCTGTGATACTGCCCAGGTGCCCAAACCGAAGCAGGTGGTTTTCTTAGGGGGCCACTCCCCGAGCCTTCGACCTGAAGGTCTGATCCACAAGGCAGTGGAGCATGGTAAGGAGATGCAGTCCCATGGAAGCTGGTGACCAACAATTGGTTCATACGCCATTTGTTCCCTTAGGATACTGGAGCCCATGTGCATCATTGGTTTGGAATCCGGTTAAAGCGCCAGACATTCGCTTTTCGTCCTCTCAATTTCGTAAACAACACCCCCGCCACGAGAAGGCAGTGAGTAGGACTTCCCTGGCAGAGGCTGTATACGCGTGGCTGTGTGAGAGTATTTCGGGAGGGAGAGCGGACTCTTCCCACTCTCGGCCGTACCAGGGCATTTGGAGGCAATGAATTAACTACTCTGAATTCGGTGTTCATCTTGTTGTACTAATGAGGTATGGCATCTTGGACCGATGCATATATGTGCCTGGTTCTACGTTGTAACTGACTGACTGACTGACTGACTGACTGACTGACTGACTGACTGACTGACTGCCTGACTGACTGACTGACTGACTGACTGACTGACTAACAGCATTCTACCATGTGATTTATATAAAAATAAAGTAAATAATTTAGTAATCTAAAATCATACTTAATTGACAAAAGATTTGTTCATTATCAATATTTCAGTTCTGCATCGCCAAAATTATGATACTTCAACTGATTTGCTCTAGTTTACATACATTATAATTTGTGAGTTTGGTTTAAAGAGAGAGAGAGATAGGGAGAGAGAGAGGAGGGTGTGGAAGGCTGGACTCTTTTTATGTATTTACTCTAAAAATAGTAAAAAACAATGAGAATAATAGTAGTTGTTAGTTGCTTTATTCTAGGTACATACATCACATATTGATGTAGAACCGAAATAGGTCATTCATCAACGTTGTCATCTAAACATCTAAGATTTAATGGTTTCACTGAAGATATACTATAAAATTGATAGAAATAAAAGGCTAGAACTACAAGGTATTTTACTATTCAATGTTAATTCATCCGTACTCAGTAAGGTCACAACATTACAAATTCATTCGAATAACAATATGGCATGAACTATTAGTGACAACATGAATAATACTTCTGGTTTACTAAGTAAATTTTGACATTATATTTTGTTTGATTAAACTACTTTTCCAATGATTAATCTAATAAGATTATATGTTCACCTAAAAACTAAAGTTCTATAAGTTTTAATTCATTTTGTATTGGCTGTTTGAATCTTTCTATTGATGTTTGGGACTGCAATTGATTAGTCACTTATTGGCCTATGTGCATCCTGTGAGGATCACTTCAATATTGCCTGAAGTCACAAGCAGTATAAGCAGAGATGGATGGTAGCTAGCATTTGAGTCTATGACGGGCATTTCGTCCTATTTTGAACCCATCAGCTGGATGTACCTGCATCCCAGAGTTGATGTTCACTCCGGAACCCAAACCCAGTACTTTTCGCTCCAAATGCCACTGTGTTATCCACTTAACTACTGAATCCAGATAGCCAGTTGCTTGTGCAATGGGGTGAAATTTTAATTCATTTTGCATTGGTTGTTTGAATTATCCCATTGGAAGAAACGTGCGTCCTGGATTCCACTGCTAGCCACCATCCATCTCTGCTTATAACGCTTGTGACTTCAGGCAATATCAGGTCATTAACTGCAGTTCTAAATATCCATTATTCTAAAAGTTTATTTTTAAATGGGGAATGTGTTCAATTATGTATTACTTGATTTCATATGATTGAGAAGCATTTTGAGACAAGTAAGAGACTATGAATACTTAAGATGGATAAAGTCATATAGAAATATAAATTATTTTCTAAGTGATTGTTGACTTTTGATTCATATTCAGCGAAGATTTTATAAAAATCGTCATTACACTTCAGTAATTTATGCATCACTGTAGTATCTGCGGTCCTATTGCTTATAATTGACACTGGAAACCGATTCAGTTCCAAGACACAAAATAAGAACATGGAAGACTGATGTAGATAAATACTTATCGACGTCCCCAAATACATCGTCATTAAACTAAAATACAATCA